TTCTGTGTGTGTGTGTGTGTGTGTGTGTGTGTGTGTGTTTGTGTGCGTGTCTGTGTGTTTTAATGTTAAAAACCTATCTTCTTTCCTCAGTTAGATCTATTATTAATCCAATGTCTGTCGTGTGAGTTTTCATTCCGTGTGTGTTTATCGGCGTCTTTGAACGCATTACATTCTTAATAAAACGATACGTCCTTTTTCTTTCCTGACAATGACTATCCACGTCCTTCTCTGCGACATGAGGATTTGACAACAAACCTTTATGTCACTGAGACGATTTTATCAAACTAAAATTTTAGCCTGGTACTGTTGGAATTGTTAATACTTTTCTCATTGCTTGTTTCTTTTTTTTTTCTTCTTTCTTTTTCACTTGTAAGTAAGGCGCAGCGACTATGAATCTTGCTTGAATTGTGTTTTAAAAATATTTCCAATAACAAAAACTGTGACGATACAGACCACGTATTGAACAGAAGCAAGATTGCTATATAAATTATCTAAATTATATCCGGTCCACTCAAGGTCCTTGCCGCCACTCCATTCCAGTCACATGCAACAACAACAAAAGGAAAATGCTCGGAAGAAATACGAAGCATAATATTTTTTAAAGGTGCCTCAAGGGCCGCCAAGTCAATGTGGAATTTCCTTGCTCCTGTTGTGTGGAATTAGGCCCAGATATATCTCCAACTGCATTAAATTTTTAAAAAATATTTTTTTTTATAACCCCCCTGCCCCCCAACATTTCTTTCAAGACAGGCGCACCCGCTGGTTGCATCTCAAGCTGGTCTTAAGACACTCTATCTCAAAGATCTAAATTTACCCCTTAGTTTGATTCCCCGACAAGTGTAATCAACAGTCACTGTACGTGATTGTCAATTTATATGTTTGGTCCTTTATCAGAAAATGCTTTTTTGTTTCTTGATACGTCTATATTACAGGCCCACAATGATACGTTTATGAAAGGATTGTTTTATATTGAACGGGTCGGTATATAATCGTTGTTGCGTGAACTGTCGATTGTATTTTTATTATTGTGAAGTGCCAAAGGGCTTACTACAGGGAGTGGCGACTCCTAGGCTAGACCGCCTTATTTATGAGTGGTCTAAGCGGGACCTCAATAGAAGCGATTGGTTAATAATAATAATTATAACAATAACAATGCTATATTTATTATTAATAATATAGGCTAAAAATAATGATAATAATAACTTT